TCACTTCACTTTTAATATAACATCATTGTACTAGTGTAGTTAAATAGGTTTTTCATGTAAAGTGTATAGCTCACATTTTGTGCCTTTTTATATTAATTTCATTTTTTTTCTACATTAAAACTTTTCTATCTTCCTTTTATCCTCGTGATTCGACACATGATTGTTTCAATAATGGAAAAGCCCTCAGAAATAGTCACATGACTGCGAAAGCTCAACAGCCTCCATTCAGTGAAATAGAGTTTACATCCACAGGACTGATAAGCTAACAGCTAGGCTAAACAAAGTCAAGACTGTGGTGTTTTGCTGCAAACAAAAATCATTGTATAAACCTTCACACACATTTATATCCCATCCTTATTTATAAATATCGCCTGCTGCAGCGAAATTAGCACTTCAGTGACATCCAGAAGGTTAAGTCTTGCAGATGTTCAGTCTTTTTGCACTAAAACCACCTAAAGGTTCATGGAACAACGTTCTCGTGACCCTCCCCAAAGACTATATAGGAAATTAGACAGTAACCATCCACTTTTGAATTAAATCTGTTGTGAGCTAAAGCATCCAGAGTGTGCTTAAATCAGCTGCAACTGATTGAAAATGAAACCACCTTTTCAGCTCTGCTAAAGCCCGTCACCTTGTTGTAATCCCACCAGTGAAGATATCAGATAATAACATTATGACACGTCTGAGGATGTGGTTTTGGGCTTACAAGGCACATTTGCACATTTTAGTGTAACTAGCCACTACTCATTAATGCCGTGTGTCCTTTTGTTCAGAGAACAAGCTACATACATAGTTCTTTGCTTAATGGAAGCCTGCCCGACGTAAGTCAAAGGTTAATGGCGCACATCAAACAAACCACACACGCTCATTTAAATACATCAGTGGATCCTGCACCACTCCAACAGTGTCTCCTTCATGGGGCAGTCATTACAGCTGCTGATGGTTCAGCACACAAGAAGAAAAATGGAAAAGCTGAAATATGTCTACTGCAGCATGAAACCGTAGAAAGCAAGAATCCCACACAAGAGAAGAAAGATAAACAAAATAGTCGCTAATCCTGCCGCACTTGTTGCAAACACTTCATTGAGCGTGCTTGTGTGTGTGTGTGTTTGTGTGTGAGAGAGAGAGTGCGTGTGTGTGTGCGTGTGTGTGCACGTGTGTGTGTGTGAGTGAGTCCGTGTGTACGTGCATGTGTGTGCACGTGTGTGTGAGTGCGTGTGTGCGTGCATGTGTGTGCACGTGTGTGTGAGGGCGTGTGTGCGTGCATGTGTGTGCACGTGTGTGTGCGCTCGTGCATGCATGTGTGTGTGTGTGTGTGTGTGTGTGTGTGTGTGTGTGTGCGCACGTACATGTGTGTGTGTGTGTGTGTGTGTGCGCACGTACATGTGTGTGTGTGTGTGTGTGTGTGCTGAACGTGTCAGGCAGACAGCCTCCATCAGCACATGAGGAATCAAATGACTGTAATTAGGCGATCAGAAGGGCGTTTCAGCCATGTGATCATTCCAAAGAGCTGGAAGGAAGCTGTGGGGGGTGAGAGAGGAGCAGCACACGGCTCTGTCAAGATGAAAAAATATTATATCAGTACAGCTTGTAGCTATTTTGTGGAGAGTGTGGCTTGATGGGGTCACTTTAAAAGCTGATCCTGGTACATCCAAAACAGGAGCTGTGCCAGCCGTCTCTGTACAGGTCGGAGCTCCTCCCAGTGTTGGCTGGACTCCACGTGTGCTGCTCCTCCTGTACTGTCCTGTCCGTGGTGTTCCTCGGCAGGATCTCGTGAGGGAGTGGGGGCGTCGGGTTTGCTACATGTGTACTGTTGATGTCTTGTGAAGAATAACTGTAAAACTCTGTTGGCTGGCTACTGGTGCACATTCACGATGGAAAAGCGTTGCTTTTGGCCGTAAACACAGAAGTGGGGAGAACAGCTTAAGATGCAATGCATTTTTCAACCTCTAGAGGGTGCCATCGGATATAAAAATACCTCCCAGTTGCTGCTTTAAGCCACGGCTGCCAATAAGTAGCAGGGTGGCTTGCAGCCAAGTTTGAATGAGCCGATGTGAGAGTCATCTAAATGTCACCAGAATGTCCCTTATAGATGAGGCGAGGCGCTCCAGCATCTGTAGGGAGCTCAGGGAAGATGTGCTGCTCCTTCTCATCGAAAGAAGTCCCCTGAGATGGTTTGTGTGTCTTAGTATGAGGCTTCCTGGTCTCCTTCCTCTGGAGGTTTCACAGACACTGCCCAGTGTAACGAGACCTAAGGGTAGACCCTGAACTTGAGGAACATCTCTAGAGGAGTTGTCACTAAGCAGAGGGATGTCTGGACCTGTTTCCTTTATGATACAACCTCAGGAAGCTGGAAGAAAATGTGTGGATGGGCTTCCTGATCCAATTAAGTTACATTTCATATAAAACTCAGCTTCAACTCTCCAGCAACGTTAAATAAGATGTAAGCAGAAGTCCCTCATAACAGTTTAATCTGAGTGTTGAGAACACAGAAGACATGAATTCTGTGGGGTTCTGAGGGAAAATGGAATATGGAAAGCATTGATTTTATTTTTAGAAACTGTTCAAATACTCACAGCTGTTTGCTGTGAAGCTGGGACCTAATAGCTTCCATTTCCATTGCTTAATTGAGTGAGCCAAACAAAAATGAAAAGGGATTATTAGCTGCCCAGTCATATTATTAGCTTCTCAAACCTAATAGGAGTGTTTATTCCCTAAATGATTGGTCCAGATGCAGTTTATCCTGGCGGTCCTTCAATTTAAAAGTCCTGCCTGGTGGTATTTTTATGATTATGTCATTCTCATGTTACTAGAAACCTGTAAGAATAAACTAGGTTTTATGCTGAATGTTATCCAGAATTTAGACCTATTAGTGAAGCTCCATTACGTTGTAGTGTTTCGTGTCTCAATCCTAACATTTGAATGAATGTAAACAACCCCGTTAATATAAAGCTTTTCTCTCTGGTAGAACACAGATGCTGCCTTGCTTCCTACCATCAGCTACCCTGCCTTTGCGGTCGACGACGATGCACTCTACTCTCAAACACTTGATAAGATTGTCCGCAAACTGCGAGGCAAATACGGCTTCAAACGCTTCCTCCGGGATGGCTACCGCACCGCCAACGAAGACAAGAATCGCCGCTACTATAAACCCGCTGAGATGAAGGTGAGTGTTGGTGGGAGTCTCAGGAATCCTCAGGTGTGTTTCTACCTGAACTGTTGTTTTAGGGTGTCGCTCTGCAGGACTCCAGCAGCTTTACCTCAGTGGTGGTCTGAGTAGTCGAACATTTACCCTGCGCTGTGGCTTGTCAAAATAAAAGCGTCAAGTAATGTTCCAGCGATGGCGCACTGGACAGTTTATTATGGTCTGTGTTCACTTTACTAGTGGTTTTATCGCCAATTTACACTTCAGTATTTTAATGAACTGCTGCGGTTGTATACTTTACCTTTAGATTTTGTTTGGAATGCTGTTTTAAAGTTTTTATATCAGAAGTTTTCTGTTCGTGCAAAATTAAAAAAATATTTAGAGTTCACATTTTAACTTTCCAGATATATGCGCTCTGTCGCCCTTTCAAGGCTCGCTGCGTAAATAAAAAAAATCTAATCTCTCTCTGCCTCTCCTGGCTGTTTTCCAACTCGCAAACCAAAAAACAAACACATTAAGCTGCATTTCAGCACTGAATAGAACTGTATAACAACTTTATACCGGACCAAACTCAATAACCCCAGTGAAATAATTTATTGTCTATCCATTAGCAGCACGGCTAGGTCAGAGTCTGTTGTGTCATTATTTCAAGAAGAGCTCTCCAGTGAGGAAGACCCAGTCCAAAATTAACTCTGGTCTTTGCTCTCGCTCTGTCGCGTTCTCTCTTTATTTTCCTAGATTCCTCTGATGGGGGATTTGTAGCTTTCTTTGGTGGATCTGCCTTTGCTCAAGTCTCAAAACCGCGGGTCTACCACGGACATATATATGTAGACACCCTGTGGACTGGCGTTGCGTTGTGGCCGGCTGCCATTTTGGCTGGGTCTCCATTCGCCCCCAGTGCATTCATTTCTTCTAAGGAAGATGCTACCCAACAAACAAACACATTTTATCAAGCTTTTTCACAAAATCAGACACAAGTCTACAGTCACCGCTTCGAAAAATGAGACCCATCCAATATGGCTGCGATGCTGTTATGCTATCCAGTGCCAGATGAGGCATTATGTATTCGTGTCTTTGGGGTCTGCATCTACGTGATCTATGTCTACGTGATACTGCCGTAAAGCAACACGCAGTCAGCACTTCCGGCAGCGGGTCAAAAACTGTACAGTGTGGTAAACGGATGTGGGACCCTATAACACTATCACAGCTCTGAAAATGATCTTTATAGATGATACAATGCTGCTAAAGCATTTATGTAAACATCATTATTTAAGGTGTTAAAGTTTGTTTATGTTTATTTATTTGGCAGACACTTTTATCCAAAACGGCTTACAATTTATAACCTATAGGGCATGTTGTGATCCGTGCGGGAAACCGGAGTACCCGGAGGAAACCCACGCATGCATGGGGAGAACACGCTACTCCATGCAAAAATGCCGCAGCCGAGTTTCGAACCTGCAACCTTCGTGCTGCGAGGCAACAGTGCTAACAACTGTGCCACCATGCAGCCCAAAAGTTGTAGAATGGGGCTTTAGGAGACTGCAACCACTGGTGGTAGAGTGAGGATCAACTGACCAGAACATTTTTTTTCCACATTTTAATCACGTGGATGGTAAATGGCCTGTTTTTGTATAGCACCTTCTAGGCTCCTACAACCCCCCATTCATCCACCCATTCACGCTGGTGGTGATGAGCTACCATGTAGCAACAGCTGCCTTGGGGCAGTAAGAGCAATTAGTTTTTATCAAGGTATTCAGGGCCCTGGTGGCAAACATACAGAAAACAACACCTCACCACAGGGTAAATGAAATTAATAAAGGCGTCATTCCTGATGTGCAATATTCTGCCGGTGTGTTTTGCCCTCTTTCCCCCATCCTCCACAAACACAAGTGTAGCTTCAGATGGGTGGAGTTGCATGTGGTTTAGAAAGCCAACAATAAAATGTGGCACGATATTGATAAAAATGAATGTTTTGGGGACACTTATAATGTCTTTGGGCTCGTTTTGAGCCAAAATAATCTCATATAAAACAAATGTGAATGATTGCTACGTGCTCTGGTATTATCTCTTGTCTCCAGATGTTTAGGTGGGTTTCATCAGCATAGCAGGTGTTGTGAAATAATAAACCCGAGGAAACTTTTCCTACTTTTTCTACCCTGCGTGAAGGCTGAATAACCCACTTTTGGTGCGTTTGATGCAGAATGATATTTCCTCGTCTATAGACGTCCATTAGGAGTGGGATGAAAGACGAAGCTCTGGAAACGAGAAGAGTTAGAAAGTTCAGAGAATTCAGCACTAATGCTCTTTACAAGCGGTATCCCATAATGCTTCTGTCACCAGTAGCAGGCACTCTGTAATAATCCATCTAAACATTGGAAACAGAAAAACATCCATATATTTATCATAAATAATTCCATAAATAGCCGTTTTCTGAAGCAGTGCCTCATGGGTAAATCATGTTTTTATTATAGGAGAGGGCCTTGCTGAAGTGGTCCTAGGCTGAAATAAAACTAAATTTAAATAAACAAATGATAGTTTACTATTCCAAACTGGCATTTTTTAAAACACGCCCATGTTGAGGTTTAGGTAACAACCCAGAGGACAAAGTTCATCTTTAATGTGCTTAGTATTCAAAAACTGTTTGAAACTTTCAATCCTGTAAAACAGGGGTGTCAAACTCATTTTAGTTCAGAGGCCACATTGAGGGAAATCTAGTCCCAAGTGGGCCGGACCGTTAAATTAAAAACAACTTCAGATTGTTTTCTTTGTTTTAATACAATCAATATAAAACAAAGCTGTAGCCTGAGGACAGTGTATCCAAAATAGTACAAGTACAACACCTGAAGTGTACTTGAAAATTTGAATAAAAAAATAAATAAATAAATAAAACATTCCTTAGTGATTCAAAGAACTTACAGATCACATGGCTAGATCAGTTTCATGCAGCAGTTAAAGTATATTTGACTCATTTTACTTAACATCTTTTAGCTTTCACCAGCACATCAATATCAGAAGTGGCAGCCAACTTCAGGATGTGATTCAAGTTCTTGTGTTGGACGCAGCTTTGTTTTATTTATACTCATTACAGAGGAAACTTGCTCACAAAGATAAGTTTATTTTTACTCTACATTGTAAAGTATGAAAGTAAAGTTTACACAACCATCCCGCGGGCCGTATTTAACACATTTGCGGGCCGGATCCGGCCTGCGGGCCGTATATTTGAGACCCCTGCTGTAAAGGCTCTAACGCTACATTACTGAGACTTAACCCAGCCCATCTTTTAATCCTGTATATGCTTCCCCTTGAGTCTCATCAGATGCACGTGTGTGAATCTGTGTGTGTGTGTGTGTGCGTGCATGCTTATGCACATGTGCACATGTGAATGACCATGCATGTATTGTCCTGTAGCGTTTACCCCTGATATCCTGTGAAATGACATGAACGTGTATTCACTTCCTTATCAGCTGAGTGAGCAGAGCATGAGTGAGTCAGACAGTGGACCCTTAATGCTAAACAAATCACTGCTTTAGCTGCAGCGCTACCCTCTCTGAATTAATCAGCACAGACAGGGAGCTGGGGTTGTGGAGTGTGCTGCTGGGAGAGTTCAGCCACCACAAAGTCAGATTTAGAAACACTGACCTAGTACTGCTCTGTGTTTGAGATGTCAAGAGTCGTATGAGCATCTATGGAAAACACGATGTGCAACACGTCTTGACAACTGATTGAAAAGAGAGAAAAAATTGGTTTAAACTGCAACGTGTTTCTGATGAATGCTTTTGTTTTTTAGAGCTGTCAGTAGTAATTCAAGGGAACACGCCATTACCCTCCATGCAGGAATCCCCACTAGCATGTGTATTTATGACTATAATATAAATTAGGTATGAGTTTATGGCCTTCGTATGTTTATCAGGAGTAGCTTGAAGTTTCACAACTGTAGACGTGGAACTCTTAATAGAACACAAGGCAGAACGTCAGAGAAAGTTTAAAGGTGCGGTTCACATGTTTAATCAACACATTTGTAGTGATCTCTAGTAGGAGTGAATGCCTTGTAAGTCATACTCTGGGGAACAAAAGCTCCGGTGCGCCTGTTCCAGGAGCTAGAAGTGAACCACATCAGAGCTTCAGACTGCAGGAGTCTTATTTCCTTATATTTGGACATCTCATCTCTGATTGGCTGACAGCAACATGACTCTTATCACTGATTCTGTTTGTTCTGCAATGTTGATGTTTTATCTCCACAATTAACACAAGCCTGGAGGAGTTCTGCTGTGTGGTGGAGTTGCTAATGCTAAAAGTTAACTTAAACTAGCGGGGATGCTGTCTGCTGTTTCCTGGACGCTAAACCAACAACAGTCTTCCCTGTCACGAGTCAGGATGGGTGAGTCCATGAATGTTAAGAGACAGTGTGACGTAGATCTGTCAGGATTTTCAAATCCTAGAGTTTCACTGTCTATTTTCTAACAAACGCTAATGCCGGAGGTAGGTGTTGGAGACTATTTTCATGTTCAGCCTGCATGAAAAACTCAGCGTGACCGATTATAATCAGAAATAATCATTAGAAAAAGAAAATTAGCAGAATTAAAAAAAAACTTTTGCGACATAAACTGGCGGGGTGGTCCTCTGCAGGCAGCCTGTTTGAACACAGAGATCATTACCCAACATCCTCAGCTGCCTTTCTAAATGATACATAACCCGCTCTGACAAGTCATCAGGTCTGCTCATTTATTTGTTTGACTGTGACTGAAAGGCTTTGCTAAACCTAAATCATCCTCATTGTCGCTGGATGCACTTCGTCGAGATGCTAAAGTGGGCACTCGTGAGGCGCTGACTCCGAACCACTTTGCAATTAGCTTCATTTAATCCTGCAGCTAATGGGATAAAAAGACTCTGAGGCTAAGAATTAGCGAGCAGCACTCCCTCCACCCCCACCCTACCTTATAGCAGCAAACACAAAGACTTGTCACAGAAAACCAGTTAGTTTTCGTACACCCGTCAGCACGCTGTTCCCACCTCTTTGTCCTGTGCTCATGGTGTTTTATTTAATTTTACATCATAAAAACACTGCAGGAGGAGATCATTCTGTTATAAAAGAGGAATCTGGGTCAGATATTGATTATAAAATATGACGAATCTTACAAGACTGGCTTTTGTGGTTATGTGTAACAAAGTAATCAGATTTCTTTTCTCCTGTTTTAGGATTAATAATCAAATCTGTACATGAAAAATGCATTTCTAGCTTTAGAAGAGCAACACATTAGGCTTTAGAGAGGAGGCGCCCATAAAAAGTGTTAATGAAGGCTCCACACAGAGTGAGAGAGCCTTGTGGGACGGGAGCCCAGTGTGGATTCATTCTGGAGAAAAGGAGGCACCGGTTGACCAGGTGTCGCCTCAGATGACGTTGATTGAAGTTGTTGTTGATGTTTAAGAGAGAATTCATTGCAGGGCAGACCCCTGTGCTCTCTGTCTGCTTAATGCTGACAGAGAGCAGTGGCGGCCTGCGTGACAGACAGCTTTACCAATCAGTCAAGCTGCTCAAGCACAAAACACAGGGGAGCGCTGCGTGTTTACAACCCAAAAGGGCAAAAAAGCACAGGCCTCATGGAGCTAATACCCTCTCCTTCACATCCTGATACATGCCTCTGTCTGTCTTCTGCTCCCGCCCTTTCTCACCACCTGACGCCTTAAACCGCACCTCTCCTTTCCTGTGAAACACGGTTTGAGACGTGCAGGTCTGCATAATCGCAGCGTGTAGACGTAAACCGACTCGAGTGACCGCTGAGTGATGGTGACAGCAGCTTCTGAATGAGAATGCGTGTCGCTCCTGTCAGGCATTTGTTTTCTGCATTAGGATGTCATCTCTGGTGGGAAGACTGTTGACACAGAAAGGGTCACACAGATAATCGGCACTAATGACATTACTGATAGATGGACTGACTCTGATGTGGACTGATCAGCAATAACTAGCACTGGTCTGGAACTGCTTTGGGTCAAGCAGAAATGAATATAATTAATTAAACTTGTTTCTGTCTGAAAACTGAATAATGTATAACGTGCATGTGAGTTCTGTGGAGCAGACGAACGGATATTGAAGTTAAACAAAACAATTCAACGTGTAAGTTCTTTTAAGCCATACACATGATCACGATCATCCTGAATAATATGAATGAATCTGATGACAGGCCTAGTGTGACACCAAGGACTGTCACCTGGCCTCATGGAAGGAAGTAAACCTTGTTTTGGCTGTGACGAACTTCACACTAATGTAACAGGCTGGAGATAGAGGTCTAAAAGTGAGAATCAGAAAATATAATGACACATGATAAAGTTTAATGTAGCGAACGGAGGAGAACCTTTAATAAAAAACGTTTGAGTGCATAATTCTGCATTTTAGGGATGCTGAGCCTCGGTTTCTGTTACCTACAGAAAGGCCACCTGACCTTGGTTTTCTTTCAGGAATCTTCATCTTCATCCTTGTATCATAACCCTACAGACCATAATAGTTCCAAACAACTTGTACCCTTCTTTGTTCATGTTGCGCCGACATAAGGTGGCTTTTTGTGTTCGTGGGGCGTCTGAACATCAACCACAGACAGACGGGAACCTGGAGACGCTGCTGTGTAAAAATAAATTAAAAAGCAGATTCTGGATCCTTGATTTTGTGTAGAATAATCTAGTAGTAAATGATGATGCTGGAGAACATGGTGTGGTCCTCACGTGTCCTGTCAGTTATTTCACATTTTCTTGTTTCCTGTAACACCACTTAGTGCCCTGTTGTCTCAAAACAAGTACCACAGACCTCCAGCCAGCTGCTGCTAGAAGCTCAAGCTCCATTCTCCATTCAAAAAGCGTGCCGTCTTAGCCTGGCAAGCCAGACTAAATAAATGTATTATTTAATCTGGCAACGCTCCATTAACGGCTCTCGGTTTTGGGGCAGGCTCTACCGTTGTCATTCAAATGATCTATGCATGCTACTGGACAATGAATGTGACATACTCACCGCAACAGCTATCGGTAAATGAGGCGGTCCGCAGTTGAAGAAGGAGAAAACACATAATTTTTTCTAAAAAAAACAAAAAGCATTTAAATACATCTATCTGCTCCTGATTCTAATGAAGCCCAAGTTCTAACGGTCCAAAATTGATGTAAAAGCCGTTTCAAACGAGCTGTCGCCATCTTGTTTCACTCTGTTGCATCATCCCACCCACCAGGCATATAGAGTGCCCTGATTGGCCCACAAAGCAGATAAAGCTCTGTGATTTGTTCACTAAGCAGATAGAGCACTATGATTGGCCCACCATTATGGACCAATCACAGCTCTTTATGTGTTTGAAACCCCTCTAGAGAGCTGTGATTGGCCAGCCAGAATGCTGTTAGGAGCTGCAGAGGTTCCAGTGGAGCGTTCCTAGACCAAACTTTGCAAAGCAAGAATTTGGTCTAGTTCACTAGGCTAGTGCCTTCTCTTATGCATCCCCAAAACTCTGGAACTCTCTGCCCCTCTGTGTGCGTCTGGCTCCCTCTGTTAGCAGTTTCAAGTCGGCCCTGAAAACCCACTTCTTTAGTATTGCCTTCTCTCCGTGACACTTTTCATGAAAATCTAGCACCGGATTTGATTTTTTAATTCCGTTTTTATGATTCATTAGCTCACTTTTGGCACCTCGCACCATCTGGTAGCATATTTGGTTTTATTTGTGCCATTTCAAATGTTTTTTTATCAATTGTCGCATTATTTTATTTTTTTTAGTGCCGTTAACTGTTCTCCTTTTTTTATTGTTTTTAGTAGGAATTTTTATCTCCGACTGTTTATGCTTTGTTCTTTTGCATTTTGCCTGTTCTTATTGTGTTTCTTGTTCATGCATTTGGCTTTTTTATGTACAGCACGTTGGTTAGCTGCCATGCTAATTTGAAATGGTGCTTTATAAATAAATATGGTATGGTATTCTTTGTGAAACAAGAGCAATAATTCCTTCTCTGTTTCTCTGCAGCTTTTTGATGGGATCGAGTGCGAGTTTCCCATGTTTTTCATCTACATGATGATTGATGGTAAGCCTCATTCTATCCATTGTTGCTGCTGTGACTCCTAAAGAGGACAGGACACATTTATAGCATCTGACAGCAGATTACAGTTCCCCTTTTGCCAAGTTTTCTAAGAATTAGAGAGACATTTTTAAAAAGCGCGATTCATAAGAAATGCCATTAAACTCAAGAAAATAGACCGTTAGAATTCAGGAAGAACAATTTTTACCAGAATGAAAACCCGAGCATCCACTAATCATCCTTGTGCCGGTTTAAAGCCAAATGGTGCTTTTAGTGGTAACACACAATTATATGAAGGGCTTGTTCTAAGTAAATTCTTCATCTTTATGGGATCAGTTTTTATCATCTTAGAAAGCATAAAAAGATCATTTATCTATCTAAACGTGTCGGGGAATTAAAGGTACTGAAGAGGAAGAGTGTTATATGTTCCTGGATCGGTGGATAGATGGATGGATGGGTGGGTGGGTGGATGGATGGGTGGATGGGTGGATGGTTGGATGGATGGATGGATGGGTGGATGGTTGGATGGGTGGGTGGATGGGTGGGTGGATGGATGGATGTTCAGATGGATTAAATGATGGATAGGTTGACAGATGGAATGATGGAGGAACAGATGAAGAATTAAAGGATGGATAAATGGATGGACGAATGTATGGGTAGATGGATGGATTGAATGAAAGGACGGATGGATGCCGATATCTGCATTAAAATATAATATCAGAAAATATCGGTATCGGTTTTCAGACATTTAATGACCCAGCGTTTATATAGAGCTCCGGACCCCACGTGACTCTCAGTTAGTGCTGAACCTGTATTGGCAGAAAAATAAGGTAAACAAACACGGATCGTAAGCATGAACGGATCGGCTTGGATTTTACTTCGTCAGAGCTTACTTCAAACTTTAAAACCGAATAAATTGTTTTATATAGTCAGAAATTAAATAGACTAAACATCTCCGACCCTTACCGTGCCCCTGGGATACTTTTTAAAAATGCCAGAAGCTGTCGGAGAGGACTTCTTACCGGACCTGACAATAACAAATAGTCCAGCTGCGGGCTTCTGCCTGCCAAGATGGCGCCGTTTTGATTTGAACTGTTGCATGCCGGGAGAAGTGACGTCAACTCCCGGAGCTCTATATCATACACATGTAATACATCAGTCTCTTCAGCTACTCTTCCTCTCTCTCAAATGTAAATGTATAACAGATCTTAGGTAACATTTTTGAAATATTTTAGTTTATTTGGCTCAACTAGAATTTGTCCCTGTGTAGTAAACGTTAGCTGTCCTCACAGCACGTAGCAACGTGTAGCTAACCAGCTAGCTAACAACTAAAACTGACTTAAAGGGGCATTATGGAAGTTTGACAGCCAAAACATGTATAGAAATAATAAATTTTTTCTTCATACATTCTCCTGCAATGCCCTGGTCCTGTAGAATGAGCCCTGGCATTTTTACTGTGATTGCCTATTTTTCTGTAAAATCACAGAAAAAGAGAGCTGCTCGGGTCGAGCAAGCTGCTTCATGCGCGTTCACGCTCAGGCATAGCCCTCCGAACCGATCTTTGCACGTTGTTTCAGCTGTCATCAAGGATATAAATGTGACAGATACAGAAGACATCACTGGCACTTTAGCACGCCTAGAAAGACTTCGGGCTTTCATGCAGAAGACCCGTGTTCGATTCTGGATGTGAACATAGTTGTTTCTTTTTTTCATTAATGATATATTTTTTACAGTAAGATGCCCAAATTTTTATTTGAGACTCGCCGAACGGCATTGAATTCACAGATAAAAAAGATGTGGGTTCAACTTTCATTTTGGAACAATTTTTCAAGCAAGGGAAGGGAATGATCTGAGCATGCAGGAGGACTGACCCATCATAAACCTTTGTTGGCTGTGCTGAAGAGAAAGGTACAGAACCAAATTATTTAATTAATTAGCTGCTCGTTCTCCTGTCGTCTGCCCCCCCCCCCCCACACACACACACGGGACTGTCTCAGCTGTTATTTTCATCAAGGAGTGTGCACGTACAGCATGCGCGCCTTGTGCACGAGCCTCCTATTGAAGCTGCCGTTACGCTTTTGGCCTGAGGGGCAATCGCGAGCAAAAAAATTCAAAACTCCGTAAAGTCCCTTTAATAACTCTGGATCAGGGTCTTTGGTGGATCTCTCTCTCTCTCTCTCTCTCTCTCTCTCTCTCTCTCTCTCTCTCTCTCTCTCTCTCTCTCTCTCTCTCTCTCTCTCTCTCTCTCTCTCTCTCTCTCTCTCTCTCTCTCTCTCTCTCTCTCTCTCTCTCTCTCTCTCTCTCTCTCTCTCTCTCTCTCTCTCTCTCTCTCTCTCTCTCTCTCTCACACACACACACACACACACACACACACACACACACACACACACACACACACACACACACACACACACACACACACACAGCTGATTTAGTGTAAACTGTGTATGTTGTAGGAGTGTTCAGAGGAAACAAGGCCCAGGTGAAGGAATACCAGGACCTCCTGGAACCCATCATCTTCCAGTCTTTTGAGGGTGAGTTACATAAACACGCCACCTGCTTTAGCTGCTGCTGAGAGAAGGACGATCTCGGACACACATGTAATAAAAGTGTCTCATTTGGAGTATCAGTGTGGTTTATCTGGCAGCTTTCGTCCCCTGTCCTCTCATTTATTAAACCCTGTCTTCCATATTCATACGCCACACTGTGGCTGTGGCTCACAAGGGCGTCACGTTGTACTGAACTCATTCAAACCTCCTGAGCAAAGAGCTGACTCTCTGTTCACCTGCAAACATCACTGTGAGGGGAGACACTCAAATAATAGGAATGTCAAGAGCTTGGACGGGTTTTTCTCGCCGTCTCACAATAGAACAGAAATAATTGCAGTGCAGCGAGGATAATGATGTAAGTTGCCCAAGTCTCTGTAGAGCCTTTGTACTTGTTCTGTATGAATTAACACATTCCTAAAGTTAATTGGCTCGGCTGTGGAGGATAACAGTTTAGTGTCGTTTCATGCTTAATGCTAATGAACGGTCGAAAGCTACTAATGTGTTAGCTGCCATTGGCTCCAGATGTTTAGTGAAACATGAACGCAGAGTGGAGCTTGGGAGGACATCCTGGTGAAAATGGTTAACAACTGGATTTAGCACATGTAGTTAGATAGTAAAGACTGGGTTTTGTTCCCCTTGCTTATAAACCATTAAATACATAGATGTGCTAACGCGGTAGGGATGGACAACTTCCTTCCTTCGTCGTTTTCTGTTAGCTTGTTGATCTTAGCATGAAGCTAAAAGGTGTCCTCGCTGATTCAGAGGGTCAGCACCGAGTGTATTCCAGCTGAAGGTGACACGACGGTGTGTTAGATATAAATCCAGCAACATTGTTACAGGAAATGTTTTAGACCAGATGTTGAAGAGGTTTTTTTTCTCAGACTGGTGAGTCTTCTCAGAATCAGGTGGACACCGTCGCCTGTTTGCACATTTACAGCAGTAGAGTTCCCACTTGTGACTCTGTCTCACAGCTGATGGTAAGCTGGAGAGTGGCATCATCAGAGGGCTCAGGAGGGAGAGTGTGATGCAAGATGTTTGGTTCAGAACAGGCGGAGGAAGAGGAGGATTTGGTTTCTGTGTGTGTTGGCTATTCCATCAGCAGAGTGGAAACACACTCTTGTTATTCCATCCAGCTGAATCACCATTCCTTCCCACTGTATTCCAGAAGATAACGTGACATTTGTGGATCTGCGATCCCTGTCAGCACACACTTGATGCGTGTTTGTAACACCCATGCCCAATGCCCCCTGACGCTACTGGTTACAGACGTGGACGGAAGTTTTACATGCGTTTAAAGAACTCACGGCTTGAATGTGCTGTTAACATGTTTATTGCTGTAATGATTTAATTTACATCTATTTAAAGAACTATAAGACATAAGATGCCATAGGAAATATGAAATCAATCTTATGGATCTTTGGGTAATTTTTACCAGAAAATTGGAACTTTTTATTGCAGGGATTATGCAACACTTCGTATTAACTGAGAGACAAGAGGAGAGAGAGTCACCTTTAAAACGTTTAAGATTTATTACTAAACCATTTTAAACAAGACTAACTCTAAACTCTAAGTGATGAATGGATCTTGGTGTGAATGAGACATGAGATGGATGGTGTATGTGTGAGTGATGCCATCTGAACTCTCGTATACGGAGAAGCAAATCTGAGTGGGAAGTGATGTTTTGCTCTTAAGCTATGATCGGAGTTTCATAAACACATGAGACGCCATTTTGTCGCTCCACACATACCCTTAGGATGAGACCTCTGTACAGATCCAGAATGTCAGGTCCTTGGACCCCCCTTCGGTACCGGAGCCGATGAAACAGCATCAGCAGTACGACAGACTAGTCTTTGGATTGTCTCCAGGTAAAAAGTGACAGTTGGTTGACAGCGTCAGATGGACCCGGAGGGTCAGTGAGTTCAGCTTTTATTCTGAAAGGAACCGTTGCTTGGTTGGTTAAAATGCAACAGATTTTATCCAGCTTGTTGGTTCTTTGCTTAAAAAGGAAGTCCGGATGGCCGGTCCGATACTTCTCTTAGAATGCGGTGAATTGGCTTAAGATGGCGTGGGGACTGGTTTTATTAATAAGGATGTTTTGATTTACGGTCGAATCAAAGTTTGACAGATTTATAAACACCACAGAGAGCATGCTACGCTTCAGAAAGGAAGGTTCCGATTGGATGAGAAAGATAAAATGTGTCATGTGACTTTAAGCCTGACGTGAATCAGTATGTCTAGTGGAAACATTGAAAGTTATATTACTTATTATAACTTACTAATCATAACATTGTCATTTCACAGATTGGTTCACATTTTATTATTGGACTAACACTTTGTTTGATTAGCTTTATTAAAAATAGAGTTCTTTGATTTATTAAAATGAAAGAGTTCATCTTCTTTCTTCTGTTGAGCTTGAAAGGAAACAGTTTTAGAAGCAAATGCATGACCTTGAGGCAATCTCAAGCAGATTAGTTCTTCCTGAGGAGAGAGGGTAAATGACTTTCGGTGGAATAGCTCCTCCATCACGTTACATTGCTTTGTAAGTGTCCATGATTCAGTTGCACAGGCACAATTTTATTTCTATTTGTTTACTTGCCCCGATTGTCCGTGCGTTCTTGATCACTCAGCCACCCAGTCCTTGCCACACAATAGAAACTGCTTGTGCCCCGTGTCAGCAACCTGGCGCTGATCTCTCCTAGATTAAATAAGCGGGAGTGGCTACCACTCAGGCCATGGGCCCGTCACTTGGCTTAGGAAAAATACAAATCAGATAATACACAAACGGCTCCTCCAATGTGCTTTAGATATGTCTTTATTCACACATGGGCTCATTTTAGTCTGCTTCTGAGAGGCTGGCAAAGGTAAGTCAGCCAAAACTGAAAGTTGTGGACAGATGTTGTGTTTTTTGTTCTGAGGAATGTTGAGAAACTTTCAGAGTTGAACATCTTTATTCCCTCAGAACCACGGTATAACCCCGGTTTCACACTAAAAGCATCAGTGGCGCGGAACGTCACCGCTTCAAATAGAATCCATTATAGTCTACGGAGTGTTTCAAACCAGCATCAGCGCAGCAATTTACTGGTGCGTCCCAGAAGTGGCACGCCGCGCCGTGCCGCTAAAGATAGGATCAGGTTCTACTTTTGCCGCGAGCCGCTTCTGGGATACGTCGATTTCCGCAGTTAACATAGAACCACACAGGAAACCACACACGGTTTTAGTGTAAAATCCCCTGTGAATTTCAAAATAAAAGTACTGCAGCAAAGTGTGACCCCACGGCTTATTTACTCACCACATTATTCCAGAAGTGCAGCTGTGTGTTTTTCATAGCTTTATTCTTAGCAGTGGAGAGGAACAACATCATATATGACATCAAACAGCGATTGTCAAACATGATTTCCTTCATTTTGGTTTAATGGCGGATTGCATAAACAAACCGTGACCTGAAATCTCGAGGGATCTTGTGTTCTCGTGAGTCCAGCGACGAGCACAGTGAGGAAGCCATGCCGCTGCCAAACCTCTCCTGGTGTGAAAAAGACTGCTTTTACTTTTGGGAGCAGCAATCTCAACCATAGACCCACGCTAACTAGTGCTGGATCCCTCCCTTCTATACAAGGAGTAGGAGAGCCCTTCTCGTCTGCTTGGCACTCATTTATCTTCTAATCTCTCAGAAACAACTTCATTTCTTTTCTCAGGTGAATCAACAGACTTAAATGTTAAAAAACAAAAAGTCCAGGCAAATACAGGTTTTAATAAAAAGTGTTTTTCTAGAAGAAGAAGAAAGTATCATTTCTATAGCGCCTCTCAAGATAAAAATCACGAGGCTCTTCACAAAAACAAAAAAATGTAAAAAAAAAAAAAATTTTAAAAGCGTTTAGAAAATGTTTAAAATATATTTAAAATGAGCAAAAATAGGCAATTGTGATTAAAAAAAATGTTAAGAGAGAAAGTGAACAGAAAAGAGGGAAATCAGTGGATCCTGAGGAAGGTGGAATTGGTGGGGAGAGCAGAATAAAGAGAGAGTGGTGAAGAAGGTCACACAAAAGCCAGCTTGAACAAGTGAGTCTTCAGCTGCTTTTTAAAGGAGACCACTGAGTCCACTGATCTCAGGCTCAGGGGGAGAGAGTTCCAGAGTCTGGGGGCCACAGCAGCAAATGATCTGTCACCTTTGGTCTTTAGCCTGGAGCTGCACAACCAGTAGGCTTTGATCACTGGACCTCAGGGACCTGCTGGGGGTGTAGGGACTAAGAAGATCACCAATGTATGATGGTGCTTGTCCATGTAAGGCCCTATAGACCAGAACCAGGATCTTGAAATGAACCCTGAAGTTGACTGGCAGCCAGTGAAGCTGGAGGAGAAGCGGGGTGATGTGGGTGTGTTTGGAGGACTTGGTCAGAAGCCGAGCACAGGCATTCTGACCACCTGTAGATGGTTCAGGGAGGTTCTGCTCAGACACGTGAAAAGAGAGTTACAGTAGTCTAAGCGTGAGGAGATGAAGGTGTGGAGAACTGTCTCAAGTTCAGAGCGGGACAGAATGGGACTCAGCTTAGCAATGCTCCTGAGATGGAAGAAGGAAGAGCGAACAAGAGAACTGACATGAGAATCCAGGGTGAGAGCTGGGTCAAAGGTCACACAAAGATTCCTGACAGAAGGTTTGGTGTGAGAAGCAAGCTGACCAAGAGAGTCTCTGACTTTGGGAACCAGCTTGTCTGGGGCACAGATGAGGATCTCAGTCTTATCTTCATTCAGCTGAAGAAAGCTCCCAGCCATCCAGGTTTTGATAGAGTCTAAGCAGGTGTGTAACAGCTGCAGCTTAGACATCTCATGGGGCTTAAAGGAGATGTACAGTTGGATGTCATCTGCATAAAGATGGTAGGAGATTCCTTTGAAGGAGCTCAGGATGTGCTGAAGAGGAAGCAGATAGAGGAGGAAGAGCAGAGGCCCCAGCACAGAACCTTGTGGGACACCATGGGTAAGAGAGGAGGTGGAGGACCTAAACTTGGAGACGGCCACAGAAAAGGAGCGCTCAGAAAGATAAGAGGAGAACCACTCGAGAGCAGATCCTGATAGGCCTACCCAGTCTCTCAGCCTCTCCAGTAGCAGGTGATGGTCAACAGTGTCAAAGGCTGCAGTCAGGTCCAGCAGGACCAGAACAGAACAGTCCCCTGCATCACTGTGAGTCAGAAGGTCATTAGAGACCCTAAGAAGAGCTGTTTCAGTAGAATGAGCTCTACGAAAACCTGACTGGAAGCTATCATAGATGTTATGTTCATCAAGAGCAGCTGTGAGTTGTTTAGCCACAACCTTTTCCAAGATCTTGGAGATGAACAGAAGTTTAGAGATGGGTCTGAAGCTGCTATGGAGAGAGGGGTCGAGACTCGGTTTTTTAAGAAGCGGGTGGATTACAGCATTCTTAAAGTAAGCAGGGACCTGACCAGAAACCAGAGAAGCATTAACTATAGAGAGCACGCTGGGACCGATGAACTGAAAAGCACTTTTAAACAAAGATGAGGGTAAGATGTCTATTCCAAAGATCACATTTCTGGAAAAGTGTTGGTAAAGAACCAGATGATTGCTGCCATCAGAAGCACAAAAAGAGCCAGTTTTACAGTCTAGTTCTGTTTCTGCGGGCTCAGCTATTAAAATGTTCCTTAGAGGTGGAAAACTGGTCCAATATGATACTTTTCAGGCAGAAATCTGTGTAAAGTCATCGCTGTTGTGTGCGTTTCTCTCGTTTACTCCTAAAGAGATATTATGATAAATATGTGCTTCAACGTCTGCCTTAAGACAGGTCCAGACCATGTGATCGTCTCTAATAAATTTTGTCAGTGAGACATGTGTATGTGGAGTTTCACGGCTTTGACTGCCTCCATCTGCAGATGTGGGTGAATCCAAGGGTCACTCATATTTCTGTGTGTTATCAAACAAGCAGCAGGTTTTAGATGTTACTTTATGTGAATTGCTGTATAACTTTAGATGGGAGCGTTTTCATCTGTCCTGCTGGACAGAAACTCTGTTCCCCAGACTGAGGCCATTTTAGTGAGACACAACCCGCGTGTGCTCGTGTCTGAAATATCCCTTTAATACACACGATCTTCATGAGGGTCATCCTTTTTACTCCCATCTCCTCCAGGTCATGCTGTGATTCCCAAATACTACTACGTACCAGCGGACTTTGTGGAGGCTGAGCAGAACAAACATGGAAGCCAGAAGCGTTTCCCTAGCAACACCGGCCGTGACGGCAAGCTCTTCCTATGGGGCCAGGCAATGTACAACATCGCTAAGCTGCTGGGTAGGTTTGTGTTGGCATGCTGGATTTGGTTTATTATCATGATTTAGCTCCAGTTCTGAAGGACACAGATGTCCTGACAGGAGTTCAGCTACTTCTTATGTCCTTCTTTTATTATCTTTAAACTTTTCCAGTGGACGAGCTGATCAGTCCCAAAGACATTGACCCAGTCCACCGGCACGTGCCGCGGCAGGACCAACGCAACGTCAGCATGAGATACTCCAATCAGGTAACGTTAAACACAACTGTATCCTCCTGTGTCCTCCTGTCTTCACTTGACTGAATTCTGAACTCTGTTTGAACTTATCAGTTTGAGGATTAACTGTGTTTGACGTTCTGTTCTTGTTCTAATCTCGCTCTCAGCTTTATAAGTCAGTCTTCAACGTGGTGTTTAAAGAGGTCATTGTGTCTGATTATCTGACTTATCAGTCACTCTGAGTTTTTCATGCAGGCTGAATATGAAAACAGTCTCCTACACCTACCTCCTGCATTAGCTTCTGACAGAAAATAGATAGTGAAGCTCTAGGACTTGAAAATCCTGCAGATCTACATCACACTGTCACTTAACTTTCATGGACTCACCCATCTTGACTCACAATGGGGAAAGCTGTTGGTTAAGCATGTAGGAAACAGCAGAGAACGTCTTGGCTAGTACAAGCTAACAGTTAGCATTAGCGACTCCACAACACAACAGAACTCCTCCAAGCTTGTGTTATTTGTGGAGACAAAACCTCAACGTTGCAGAGCAAACAGTCAGTGGTAGAGTTGCATTGCTGTTAGCCAGTCAGGGGCGAGATGTCCAAATATCAGGAAATATGACTCCAAATCCTGACGCTATCCTCGCTTCTAGCTCCTGAAACAGGCGCACCGGAGCTTTTTTTCTCTAGAGTTTGACTTACAAGCAAGAGACCACTGCAAATGTATTAAAAATATGATTGAAGTTCCTCTGTAAAATTTTCTATTGAGAAGAGAGTAAATGTCAAACTATAGACAGAAGGTGAAAGAACTGCTAACATAGAAATGAATTCATTTTTGTTTATTAGATTGTTTTTGCTAAAAGCCTTTTCTAGGAACAGTAAATGGTTTTCTGAACAATAAGTTATCATGATCCACTAAATACTATAAAATCAGTTCTTTTTTTATTATTTGTCTAATTATTTTTTCTTTATGCTTTAAACATTTATCTTTATACCTGAAATTGTTGCGTCACATGATGGATTAATACAAGTTCAGGAATTCAGTAGAACATCATAAAAATGTCCCCCAGTTCTTCTCTTTGAACATTTGCATGCTAGTGATCAGTGTCTAACGTAAATGTTTCAGAGTTTCACGTATAAACCCAAAATTCACACTGTTTACACTTGTTTGCTTGAATGAAAACTTAAAAACTGAATTCGCGTCACTCTGACAGGAGCTCCTAATGGCTCTTAAAGCTGCTTTAGTGAATCTTCAGAACAAGCTAGGATTTAAACGCAAACACGATCACACTCACCCCTCCCCTTAGGTACCTTCCCTAAGATGCTTCTGCTGGAACCAGAAACCCGCATTTCCAGAGGAAACGAGATCATGCTAAACAGCAGTCACTGTTTTCTAGGTCCAAATGTCTCTTTAAATGGTGTTTTATTTTTTGGGACTCTGGTAATTTGTTCTGAAGTTGAAGTGGTAGCAGCTGTTTCTCCTTCTCTGATGTTACTGAGTGGAGAACCTCTCACACCACCAGTGGTATGTTGTTGCTAAGTGTGTGAGCATGTTAAGAGTGGTGGACCCAGGGAAGTGCGGCAGTTTGGTGAGACCGACAACCGGTTGGTCCAATAGTTGCTTTGGTCTGAAACATGTTATTGGCAGAGGTTTTAAAGTTAAAGTCCCATTGGTCCTCATCATACACTGGTAAAATGACATGTCCACATTGACCCGTCCGTACGGGGAGTGGAGAGCTGCAGCAATGGCTGTGCTCTGGAACTATACTAAAACTGAGTGACCCTCTACCACTAGGTCACTGAGACGGTGTGAGAAGGTATTTTTAGACAAATGCAAGAGAACCACTTGATAAAATTTTTTTGTCTTTCTTTTTTTAAATCTCCAGAATATATTTATAGCTATGCGATGTTAGAACATTGGCACGAAAACATGTTGAAGCTAATTTGTTTGCTAAATTTCCTAAATTGGCTGTAAAGTTTGTGTAAAATTTAGAAAAACAGGATCGTTCAGAAAATCAGATGGGTCACGTCCACACACACACACACACACACACACACACACACACACACACACACACACACCTGGTGGTGATTGAAAAGAATTCAAATTCCAAAATCAGTACTGATTTAAAAGGGATTTTTCAGATTTGAAGATGGGTTTGATGACAACATTCCAAAGAAATTAAACATATTGTACCTGTGTGTCATGTGACCTGTATTATCACGAAAGGTCCTCTGATTTGTGGCAAAGGTCACATTTACCCAGCTGGGTCAAGCTGGGTCAAACAGGTCTGTGTGTCAGTCCCCACAGTACCTGTCTGCAGTGGCGGATTTAGCAATTTGGGGGTCCATGGCGAACACAGACATGGGGCCCCCTTACACAAAATTTTCAACAATCTTACCTTTAACTGGATTTGCAAAACTCTCCCATCTTCTGACATGAGTTATTTTCACTTTTTAGTAGTCCTCCTATTTTTTCCAGTCTTTCTCCCCCTTTGAGTGCCTTTAATAGCTTTTTTCTTCCTGTCAGTCCTCCTCTGCTTTTGCCTTTCTTTTCTGTTTTCTTCTATTTTCCATTTTGGTCCATGTTTTCCTCCCTTTAAACATTTTCCATTGTCTTTCCTTTCTGCTTCCTTTTGATGTTTACATTGAATACCATACCATACCAATTTATTTATAAAGTACCATTTCAGAATAGGATGGCAGCTAACCAAAGTGCTGCACATAAAAGAGCCAAGTGCTTGAACAAATCAACAAAACACAACGAAAGCATGAAAATCAGATAAGATACAAAGAAACATAGCATAAAAACGATGAAACGATTGAAAAACAATGCATGAAAAACAACGTCACTTTCAGAAGGGAAGATAAAAGCTTTTTTGAAGCAAGCTGCTTCTTTCTTTTATTGGAGCCACTAAGTTAACTCCATTTCATGCTTAATGTTTTGACTACTGCTTGGAGTTTGTTACGAACGCCCCCGCCTCTCTTCTTCTTCTTTTTCTGTTTTCTCTTATTATTATTATTTGTGGTTTTATGGCATTCGTCAAACAACAATTTGGTGCATTACTGCCACCAACTGTATTGGAGTGGAATGACTACCAATCACTTCCTGTTTGTGCATCCGCGTCTTAAAGGAATAGTCCATTCTGGCATTAACAGAGGGGTGCTAGCAGTCAGGGCTAGGGGGCCCCAGGCAGCCACCGACCTATGCCTAATGGTAAAACCGCCACTGCCTGTCTGTATTTTCTCCTCATCTGGAAAACACTGATGCCTTTCCTCCCTAACCTCCTCAGTGGTATTTTTTCTCCACTAACACCATCGTGGGGGGTTTCCTGCAGCCAGTATTCCAGATCCTATTTCTATTCCCCTTGTTGTGATTCTCACATGTGCTGAAGTCGTAATTGCATGGACAACAACACAGCAGAAGTTATCTTCTTTTACCTTGCCCAGGGCCAAGCTTGCAGATGAGAATTAAACCCGGTCTGTTTGCCTCTCTAAATGGCAATCATGTCTGAGGTTTAATCCCTATCCAACATGGCCGGTAGCTCTGAGGATAACACAGATGAAAGCTGGAGATGCCTGCTTGATGTAACATTCTTCTGCTGGGTTCATTTTAGTTTTACCGATAAGACTGTTTCTGTAAAAGGCACACCATGTCTTTAGAGGTGTGACAAATGCTAGAATGAATTTGAATATCTGCAGAAAGAACAAACCTCAAGTATTATTTTGAGTCTGTGTCGGCCCTATAAATATTTCAGGGTATTTACTGTTTTGTTGCGGGTAACCTTCCTTTGCTCTCTGAAGCATATCAAGTTAGACTTTATTTGATACCTCGCTCCGTGAGAACCATTGATCTAGTGGGTGGTTTATGAGCTGGCAGGGTGAATGTATATTTATTAAAGTACTTATACATCCAGGGATCATTCTAACAGTAATAATTAAAAGTCTTTGTCGATGGAAAATCAGCCTCTGTCTGCTTGTAATGGAGCCTGATTTCTCCCAGTTTGAAAATGGATCAAAGTACTGTCCTCCATTGTGCCGGCAGCTTCGCCTCCATGAGTTCAGCATCTAAACTAGCCGGCCCTCTGAGTGACGGCGTGCTCTAGCAGGTAGGCGGCATATTTTACGAAAACTATCAAAGTTTTCTTCAATTCATTTCTAATTCAGAAATACTTTATTAATTCCAGAGAGAAATTAAGCGTTTCAGTACACACAATTCTGAGATCAGACATACATACATGGATACATGACAAGAATTGGAATTGGAAAAATCACAGCAAGACAATGTAGGAACTGCTTGGAAAAGACAGCATTGCAGTTTTGCTGTGAACCTGGTCTCTGATGGTAGCAGGCCTCGCCCAGCGTGAAGCTCACGAACAAAGACTACCCCGCTGAGCTGGAGGTTGTCACTCTGACGCTTTCCATATAAATGTCTGGGTAGTTTTACATCAACTTCATGTCAGGAACTACTGGAAACTCTTGTGTCATGTACTCTGGAAATAAGAACCTATAAGCAGGTCTATGAAGATGTACGTCAAATCCAGTCAACATGTCTGGAGCTTCTTTGCCTAGAAGGTAGTGTCCTCCAAATGGGCCGACCGCTTCCCTTAGCCAGTTTGGTGTGTAATCAGAGATGATTTTAGACAGTGAACCATAGACCGTATGAAGCAGGGATGCAACATATAAATTTGACCATTATTGGAATGAGAAGCCATGATATCTCATTTATAGGTCTCATCATGTTGTGTTCTTGGGAGTCTGCACATTGTAGATGTTGAGTAGAAAGTTGCCTTTTTAGTCACCAAAAAACAACTTAAAGCAAAATGTCTTTAAAGAGCAAGTCACCCCCTACCAGAGTTTTACTCCACTCCCACTTTTTGCTTGAAAAATGCAACAAATGCTATTGCCTAGCAGACTGAGAGGGCGAAGCCGCTAACAAATACACACACACACACACACACACACACACACACACACACACACACACAGGCTCACAACGACAATGTGACATTGTATGGTACCAGTTAACGTT